ATCAAGGAACAATAAGATATTCGATGACCGATCGTTTACAGAGGAAGACACTATTGTAAAGGCAGTACAAGATGCGAAAGAATGGAACGCAGCACAAACACTACTACCCAAAGAGGACATGATCTCTGATGACCAAGAAGCGAGCATACCTTACCGGGGCCTCACTTGCTATTCGGATGCGGCTTGGAGATCTGACACAAACGAAGCTGTATTGGGGTGGATTATCACCGATCAACACAACACAACTTTGACCTGTGGCTCACAGAGATATCCCCGAATTGCAAACCCACTGATGGCTGAAGCTTTGGCCGTTCGCGAGGTCCTCTCCCATGCGATAAATCGAGGACTCCAACTCCAGAGAGTAGCATCGGACTCAAAGCAACTCATCAATCTCATCATTTCAAGGAGCTCTCATCTTGACTTCTATGGAATTCTACATGATATTGTATCCATGTCTGTAGATCTCAATTGTTCTTCCTTTGTGTTTATCACTAGGGAAAAAAACGCTTTGGCTGATGGCTTAGCCAAAGAAGCACTGTACCGTGAACCAAATTGTACCAATTCTTCTCCGGTTTAATGAAATTCACATCATTTGACCAAAAAAAAAAAAGTAAATTGTAGAACAAGAAAAAAAAGTCTATAGATTATGGACTATGGGGTGGGACTGTATTTTGTTTATCAATATTATTTTTAATAAAAATGGTGATCCGAGCAAAAAAAATTGTGGCCGTTTTCATATTTATTATCCAAAATATTGAAACAAGATTAGTTTTAAAAATGTACTATGTATTTTACCTTTTTTTAAAACAACGGATTTGATAGAGATAAAGAATATACTATTCTAAAAATGAATTATTATAAACAAATAAAAGTAAAATTGATAGTTTAATCTTTTTAGATGCATTGATGTGCTTAATATTTGTCATATGCATCGATGCGCTAGCTAATTGAAATGAGATTTTGTCAAAACCCAATTATATTGCAACGCAAATGGGCATTTTTAGAAGTTTCTTTTAGGGTCATTTGCAAGAATATCCCAAAAAAAAAAATAACTAGTCACTGTTTTCACTGAAAGTTAATTTA